TGTCCTAGACACTGAATTGTTTATACGCGAATCCTGGATGGGGAATTCTGGGAGTTGAAGTCTGGACATCTTCAAGTTGCCAAGGTTGAGAAACACTGTCCTAGACACTGAATTGTTTATACGCGAATCCTGGATGGGGAATTCTGGGAGTTGAAGTCTGGACATCTTCAAGTTGCCAAGGTTGAGAAACACTGTCCTAAACACTGAATTGTTTATACGCGAATGCTGGATGGGGAATTCTGGGAGTTGAAGTCTGGACATCTTCAAGTTGCCAAGGTTGAGAAACACTGTCCTAGACACTGAATTGTTTATACGCGAATGCTGGCTGGGGAATTCTGGGAGTTGAAGTCCTGACATCTTCAAGTTGCCAAGGTTGAGAAACACTGATTTAAGAGATCCCGAACTATTTGTTGCTAGTTCTTTTGTGCATTTCATACCGCAAAGCAGATGTAATAACGACGACTGTTTTAATTCACCTCTTGAACCCGGAATACTTTTCTAAGAGTCCAGGAAAAAATCCCCCGTCCTTAAAAGTATTCAAGTTGCATTTTTACCTTTGCCACAATACGAACTTTCTTTTCTCTTTTATTTCCCTGAAGGAAATGGAGAAATCAGATGCCAACAACTTCCTCATTCTCTTCCGGGACTCCGGCTGCCAGTTCCGATCTTTATATACATACTGCCCCGAAACCGAAGAGATCAGTAAACTGACTGGGATTGGCCCCAGATCAATCACCAAGAGAATGATCGAGGCGCTGTATAAGTATAACTCTGACCGGAAGCAGTTCAGCCACATACCGGCAAAAACGCTCTCCGCGAGCGTTGATGCGATTACTATCCATAGCCATTTATGGCAGAGCAAAAGACCGGTAACTCCCAAAAAGCTCTCCTCTTCAAAGACATAGCTACCCTGTGGGAAGTTATTTGGGACAAACTTGCACTTCATATTTGCTATTATTACTATTACCGATTTGGTAACCAGGCTCCTTTGAAGAACAAGCTCTCTGTTGTCGTTGCCAACTGGAATGTAAACACAGTGTTGAAGTCTTGCAGAAAACTGACACTTGCATCATGAACAATGGATTCACACCTGGGGATTTTAGTTGTTTGCTCATCATATCTGGTGTTCCTTTCCTCAGTTCTGCAGTTCTCTGAATGTTTGCACACTTATGAGACTGACGTTTTACATTTACTGCCTTATACTGTTAATGCTTGTTTTGGAATTTGCTTCTGTTTTTTATAACTTCACTGGACTATTGTGTCTTACATGCCACATCATTATTATTATTATTATGGTTGGTCACACACCATCAGCCAGATAGACTGGATTTGGCATTTTTATCCACCTATCAAGTCCTTCCCAAGCAGCTGGGAATAGGCAGATATTTTTTATTTTATTAATATCATGCAGATAACAAAAGGCACAAGCCTGACTCACAATAAAATTAAGCTTAGCTAAACTCCTTTTTAACTCTGATTATTGTTGTTATTATTTAAGCACATCTTGTAAGACATAGGCAGGATTGCTGCTAGCATGTCTTAAGCTCTAATAGGGAAATGTGGTGTCTACTAATGTTGTGAAGACATCGTCCTTATATTTAACAATTCATCACTGATCCAGGGTAGCATGAAATGAAAACGTATGCACTGGTAGACTTTTTTTCCCTATCCTTGTTTTCTTCTTAAACAGGCATCTATTCTTGCCCAAGCTTCTGCTTAAATTGCATCCTGTAATTTTGCACAGATTCTCCCAGCTGTAAGGAAACAAAACTCCACATAAATAAAAACAATACTAATTGTATACAGGCCAACATAGATACATAAATTGGATCCATAAGTCGGGAACGATTGCTGACATTTAAAATCCAGGATTAAATGTGTTATTTATTTATTATTCATTAGACTTATATACCGCTTCATAGGGCTTTCAGCCCTCTCTAAGCGGTTTACAATTTATTTATTTTTAGCAAATTGAGTC